TTCTCCAGTGTCTCGAATAAGGGCAGCTCCAAAATCTGTAGAGATACTCAAGGATTTGAGTATCGAGGCACTGACCTCGTCGGCAGACCTGGTGACAATGGCTCGCTCGGTTCCAAGAGGAACCTTGAGCTTCTCAAAAATGAGGGATAGCAGTCGAGCGAACCCAAAGCAAGTCTCGCCAGCCCTCATGCGAGCTGTGGTCCGCATGTAACTAATGATGATGCTGGGCAAAGGAATACCAGTCAACTGCTCACCCACACCATGCATCATCTTATCCAAGAAGTAGAAGTCACTATTGCGGAGCTCACGTTTTCCACTCCTCTTGGGTACCACATTGAAGGACCACGTGTTACTCTTACTCTCAATAATTCTGAACTCCCTATTCTGATTGATGGACCACATCCTAACTGCCCGGCTGATTTGCTGCTTACTCTCAAATCTCATATGGAGACGTATATTATTATTCTCCTCACTGAATGTTACAATACGCTCCAATCCATCCTCCTCTTCTATATCATCATCATCTATGCTCCCAAGATCAGAGAAAAATGCCATTCCTCTTGGAACATATGCAGAGCTGCCATTCCACCTATTGTGTCTGATATCTCCGCATTCTGTGTTGGCAACCCGATACCCAACAAAGGGTTGTTGGGTATCGAGGTTTACTCTTAAACCCCCACCTTCATGCTCATCATCCGAGTCACTACCAGACACATCTTGCGACTCCGACTTTTCGACCTCTTCCGCATCAACTTCCGGGTCATCTTCTTCCGGATCATCTTCTTCAGAGGCAAGGAGCCTATCATGCCCACTAGCATATACATCATCTTCAGCTGAACTGCGACAACCTAGACCAGGGTTAGACTCGATCCCATGTGGAGAAATATGGCATGATGGCCCTGGATCTCCAAAACTTGGAATCGAATCCAGGCCATGAAAATATTCCTAGGCACCCATGGACCCTGATGTGTGCCTTGGTTCTAATGAATCCATAGATCGATCATCATGCATATAGTGACATGCCGATGAAGTCTCTGGAACGATTGAACTAGAACCGAAGTTAAACTTTGTTGGATCCATGAATGCATGTACAAGCGACATTATTGGACCAACATTACCTATTGGTCCAGTGAATACGCTATTAACTACAGGCATTTGGACGATTTCTTTCTTCTCGATATAAATCTCTGCCATGTATGAAACTCTTTCGATCTAAAGATCGTACATTACATCAAGAGTTTCATCATCCACCACTGAGGAAACAGTATATTTGGAACTCTCCAACGGTTGACGAAGAAACAATTTCAGCTTGAACATCCCTTTATCGACCCCAATATAGTGGTAATTCCTGTCAACCAACTCCCCGTATCCAATTCTATGCCTCAAAGTGAATGTCCGGTTGGAAGTACGAGGCAAATAACAAACAAAGTCACCCTCGTAATGTATTTCTCCTCCCCAGTATAGGTTTACCCACAGAGGTCTTTCTACAGACATGTCTGTGAAATGAATCCCTATTTTGGGGACAATAAATTAGAATTAGTAGTCCAAGGGTCCAAACAAATGAAAGAGGGTGGACTCTAGGTCGAAATTAGAACTATTAAATAGACTAATTTCGATCCAGATGTTTATGAAAAATTTGAAAACAGGTATGAAATATGCTATAAATGACGATAGGAATAGCCTAAAACTCCGAACGAAATTTTTAGAAAATTTGGACAGAATCTCCCCTAAAAATAGACTAAAACTCCCTGCCAACCAATCCAAACAGGGTTTATCCAATTAATAGTCAGTTGCCCTCACAAAGAAAACTCTACAAAAAATTCGACAGAGTCTCCCCTATAAATGGGCTAAAACTCCCTGTCAAACAATCCAAATATCCATGAAACTCAAAAGCTTCAATCTATAAACTACATAATGTCAATAAAATTTCTAAACTCCAATTGCAAAACATACAATGTCCAATGTAGATAGTGTTTCGACAAAAAATAATAGCTGCGAAATAGATTTTAAAAACAAAAACTGAAATTAGAGAATTATTGGTACATAACCCTTGCCCCCACATTCAGTATTAGAGAAATTAGAGAATTTGGGTGGGCACTTGCCACCCAAATTTGGTACATAACCCTTGCCCCCACATTCAGTATTAGAGACTTTGTCTACTATGTGCTTAGCATTTTAGAGAATTATTTTGTACATTAAACTAGTCAGAAATAATTAATTATTATCATTTTAAATTACATAAGACATATTAAAGTACTAATTATTGTAATTATTATCATTTCAAATTATACAGGGCGTATTAAAGTACTAATTATTGTAAATGGCTTTGATAACTACATTAGTGAAAAATAAGTATTTGTCAAATATATTTATATACACTTGTTAAAGTACGACAATAGTGTCTAAATGTATATAACAAAAAATTAAATGGCATGCTAAGACTGTTAAAGCAACGGAAATGCATCCAAGACAACTTCAATGCTCGGCATCAAATTTTGGAAATTGCTAACATATATTGTAATTTCAATAAAATTTATTTTTCCATTTTAGTTCAAGGCCCTTATTTTTCTAAAATCTTCTCTAGGAACACAACTCTAATGTACGATTTACCCATAGCTGCCCTAGAGAAATTCGTTTCTCATTTGCATCTCATGTTTAATTTCCTTAATTAGAACCCATTTTCTATTTTAAATGGAACTTGCACCTTTTTTCTTTTTTTTTGTTTTATCTTCTTCAACACAAAAAAATAGACATTTTTAAAAAAATTATGATGACAGAGAAATTTCGAAAATTATGATGAATTTTAAAAGAATTCTACAAATGGGGCATTTTGAACATGGGATTCCGTCCAAAGGGTCTTCGCATTCAGCAAATGCGAACTCACGGAGTTCGAATTTTTGAACAACGAAATCCAAAAAAAAAAAAATTAAAAAAAACCAGACCTCGCATTTATGAAATGCGAGGATCCGAGCTCGGATTATTTCTGGTATCCCTCGGATCCAACAGGGTTCTGATCCGTCTCAACAGATGATCAAACGAGCCCTCAGATCTGAGTGAACAACTATGGATTCGAGGTCGTATCACCCAATTTCGCCTTTGATCCTCAAATGATCCGAGGTCGGATCTGTCTGTGTTGAGTCGGACCCGACCTCGGATCATGCTTTTTCTGCACTAATTGCAGAAACTGCAAATAAACTGCAACAAATTGGAAATAGAAAAATTGCAAGATTTCGAAAAATGTAACGTATATCCTCAAATCCACTACAAAAATTGCAAAAATAAGCACAACCTACATCAAATTTAAATCCAAATTTCACAACAAATCTGAACTTGCCCTTGGATTCAAGTATTCAAGTATTAATTAAATTTAAAATGCTATAAGTGAGGCATTGCAAGTGGAAAAGCCTCACCTTTATGCTGTTTGGGAGTCGCAATGGGACGGGAATGCTGGCAAATTTTGGGAAGCGGCACTCGCGGAACCAGTCTTTGGATGCTCCGGTCAGCTCCGGTCTTTGGATGCTTCGATGTGCAGAACCCAGCTCTGTTTTCTTTGTTTTGCTGTTCGACAATTCCGAATTCTTTGTTTTGCTGTTTGACAGCTATGTTTCGATATTGCGTTCTGCTTTGACAGCTATGTTTCGATATTGCGTTCTGCTTCTTTGACTCACTTTTCTCTTTTTTTTTTTTTTTTTCGAAATGGGGTCTTGGCACTCCTCAGTACAAGCTCGGTGAGCTCTCACCAAGCTCGCATTCCGCGAATGCGAGGTCAATGAGCTCGCATTCCCGGAATGCGAACACCTCATTTGTAGAACACTCTCCAAGAAACGCCCTCGTTGTAGAATTCTTTTTTTTTTTCATCATAAACTAAGAATTCACCCCTTCATTTTGTCTCTAAACTTGAAATTTTATAGGCATTTAGTAAGACATTTGTCATATATGCAATTCAATTCACATTTCATTTTGTCTCTAAAGCCCGAATTATAACTACTTGAAATTTAAGGGACCACATTAATTGAAACATCAAACATTAGGGACTAAAAATACAAAGTCAAAACTTTTGACTAAAGCCAATTTGATCTTGATTGTTAGTTATTGTGATTTTTCATTAATTATCCTAAATTTGCCTAAAATAAAAAGTTTTGAGGACCAGATTTATTTTGGCTAAAATATTAGAGACCAATTTAATACATAGGCCAAATATTAAGCACGAAAACTATAATTCGCCCTAATAATAATAATAATATTTTTGTTTATATGGTTGAGTCTTCTTAACTAGCCAATACAAACATGCAAAAGGCTGAATTGATGGGCATTACGATTTCGCACGACATTCATTGCACTAATTTGGCTTCCTTACGTCCGATCTCCAGTCCTTTCGTTGGCTAAAGTCCATGTTCAACAACCTAGAGTGAAACTTTTTGAGTAAAAGGTAGTCAGAGGCTCAGAGCACGTTCTTAGATACAGAATAAAAAATCTAAAAATTTTTGCAAGGCCAAAATGCTGCTTTTGCAATGATAATATGTGATATGCAAAACAGGATGTGCACTTGATGAGGAAAATTTTCGATCCCGTTTGAATTGTTATTTACCGTCGCGATTATATATATATGAAATAAATTAATAATTAACATAAGATAAAAGGGTAATTAAAAATTGTTTTCATTAAAAACGTTAGAATGATATCGGTTTAATCAGTTTTATATAATCCCCGCCAAAAGCCAAAAGGGTAGAAGAAACGTAAAGAAACACAATTGAGGAATGGCCACAAACCGGAATACCGAGCTACTTCCAAATTGTATTCACAGTTCGGAAATGGGCAATGTGACTGTTAAGACCTCCGCTGTGAAACGCTACCTGTTGCCATTTCAGCACACTCACTAAAATTCGACGCAGTCGCCACATGCATATTCCTCCAATTGTTGCCACAGGTACTTGTTTTCTGGAGATAAAAGCTTTTTCTAAGCTTTTTTTTTGTCGCATTATTATAAACCACACTTATTTATGGGTGTTTTGGGGGAGATATCCGGGAAATTTGAGCAAAATTTGGACTTGATACGGAAATGTTTCCGAGAGGCTTTGACTGGATTGGAAGCTAGAGAAAATCATCTAAATGGAGTACAAGGATCTCTTTCTGAAAGTTCTAGAGAACTTGGTCTAATGCTAGAGGCCATTGAAGCTCAGGCGAAGGAATTTGAGGAGAAGGAGAGAGAGTGTCGTTTGATTTTGGAACAAGGGTGGAGTTTGATTAGAGATGATATTAGAGTTAGGGAAGTGAAATTGAGTAAGGTAGAGAAGTTGATAGGAGGGGCTTTTTGAGAGCATATTAGAAGTTCTGTTGATGAGGGTTTTAGAGAATTATGTTTAAAAGAGAGGCAGGTAGCGGATCGTTGGAGAGAGCTCGAGTTGGTTGAGAAACAGATTGAGAGTAGAGAAAATGAGCTTGTTAAGAAAGAGGAAAAGTTCAAGAGTTTAGAGGAGGAGATTGAGGTGAGGGAAAAGGTCTTGGGTTCAAAACAGGGGATGCTTGAACCTAGAGAAAGTGAGCTGGAGGCTAGGGAAAAGGTTTTGGAATTATAGATGGTGCTTGACTTGAAACAAAGAGAGCTTGATTCTGCTAAAAAAGGCAAGGAAAGTTGTTCTAGAAAACCTGATTCAATAAAAGGGCAAAGAAAAGAAGGAAAATGGAGACAAGGACGCATATTAGAACGACTCTGAACAACATGCTATCATTGATCTGGTTGGATCAGATTCTGGTGATTCGGGTCATTCAGGTTCGGGATGTGATCTAAATGATTCCCATTCAGTGTCAGAGTCTGATTCAGGTTATTCAGGTTCAGCACATGATCTTGGTGAGGCAGGTTTAGGCTTGGCCAATTCAAATTCAGATACGTTCTCAGATTCTTGTGATTCTTCAGGTTTTGAAGGCTCAAGTCCTATTTATCATTCAAACAAATTGTTTAATAACTTCAGAAGAACATACACGTTAAGCAGGTTTCATGTTGGTCAAATTTGGGCTTGTTCTTATCACAGTAGTAATGATAAGATAAAAAAATCATATGTTCGCGTTGCAAGGCTCCAGCCTGTGGCACATTATCCAGGTGCAGTGTTGTATAGGAAGAACACCAAAAGTGTCAAGTCACCTGCCATAACGCAGGGTTGGAAGGAGTGGATAGATGCGGGGTTACCAGTTGGTTGTGGTGGATTTATATGTGGTAAACAAGAGGCCCTGTCATTATCTCGTTGTAACTTTTTTAATCAAGTTTGCTACAAAGATAATTTTTCTTCTTGCAATCTTGGTAGTCCTTACTTAATACATCCTCAAAAGGGAGAGACTTGGGCCCTCTATAAGGATTGGAATATTAGTTGCTGGGCTTCTAATCCTCAAAATCATTTATCTTGCCAGTATGAGATAATTGAGATTGTCCAGAGAAATTCTTTTGACACTAGAGTTGCTTCCTTGGATAAATTGGAAGGATATGCAAGTTTATATCACAGAAGAAACCACAATAAGAAGGATACTTTTTTGATACATGATGAAGAGCTCTTTAGGATTTCCCACAAAATACCTTCCTTTAGGATGAGCGGCCATGAGAGCAAAGGTGTACCAGAGTCGATCTTTTGAACTTGCTCCCAAGTCGCTTCCTGCAGTTTTTCGATGAAATTTGGAACATTCAGGTATTAAATTTACTAAGTCCATTTTCATTGTGTTTATGTGAATTTTCCTTTTTTGCAATTTTTGGTCACTCCATTTGTGCTGCTGTGTTGGGAGGCTTTTTTAATGGGTGAACTCATTGCTAGCCATTTTGGCAACATTGAAGAATTTTGTTTGATATGGCATGCAGCTGACACCAGTACTAGCCAGTCAAATGTAGTATTTACAAGTAATAGTCTTCATCATGACATAGAACTGTTGGAAAATTGGCTATATTCATTGTAGAGTGAATGAGAAAATTGTTCTCATAATGACACTCTTGAAAGAATCAAAGGATAATTATCTATTCATGTACATAGGATTCATGTATATTATTCATGATAGGATACATGTACTTGATACATGATTTTATCGTTATCTTATTGAGATACGTGTATGTACATGAATATGGTACTTTGATCAACGTAAAGATAATTATCTGGAATTTAACTCTTGTTGCCAATTTCGAACAGTCACCCTAGGCTAGCATCTATAAATATCTCCTTTTATTTCAAAAGCAAGGGCGCTCTCTCTCTCTCCTTTTCCTTCTTGCATCTTCATATTTTATAGTGTTCCATATTGCTCTAGTTCGAGTTCGTTGTGGTGAATAAAGTTTGGTGCTGACATATTCACCTTTAATCCGTTGTATCCTGGGAGACAGACGCCTACTCAACCTCGAGCACTCTACCTGGAGGGGGCGAATCTGTTTTAAGGAAATTGTGCTCACAAGCCTCGGATTGTTACTATTGTTATTTTTCTATCTTTACCTTCTTTCTAGGTTGTATTTATTCTTCTCTTTTGTATCAGCCTACTTTATTATTTCACTAACAATCTTAAAACAGATCCGTTCTCAATGGCTGACAATACAGGAAGAGAAACCAACACATCTACTGTTGATGCCTCTGCCTCTGGCACAATTGTTAAACAACCTGAAGGGAAGATTACTCCTATGGTTTCTACCAACCATAGTGAGAAACCTGAGAAGTTCCATGGCCTAAACTTCAAGACATGGCAACAAAAGATGTTGTTCTATTTGACAACATTGAATCTCTCGAGATTCTTAAGTGAGGATGCTCCAAAGCTGTCTGAAGGCTTAACTGATGCACAAGCTGTCAGTGCTATTGATGCTTGGAAGCACTCCGATTTCCTTTGTCGAAATTATGTCATGAACTGTTTGCATGACTCGCTGTATAACGTGTATCAAATACACAAGACGGCGAAGGCACTGTGGGAATCCTTAGATCGGAAATATAAAACCGAAGATGCCGGAGCAAAGAAATTTGTCGTTGGAAAATTTCTAGACTATAAAATGGTGGATTCCAAAACTGTTATCAATCAAGTGCAAGAAATTCAGATTATCTTGCATGAGATTCTTGCTGAAGGCATGCTTTTGAGTGAAACCTTTCAAGTGGCTGCTGTTATTGAGAAGCTACCTCCTGGGTGGAAGGATTTCAAGAACTATCTCAAGCACAAGCGCCAAAGAAATGGCATGAAAAGTTCGACAATGCAATGATAACTAATGGATACAGAATAAATGAGTGTGACAAATGTGTCTACACTAAAGAAACAGACAATGGCTATGTCATCTTATGTCTTTATGTAGATGACATACTTATTGTTGGTAGTAATGACAAAATGGTCAAATCTACCAAGGACATGTTGAATTCAAAATTTGACATGAAAGATATGGGGCTTGCTGATGTAATTTTAGGAGTTAAAATTACAAGAATATCAGACGGGTTGGTCTTGAGCCAAACTCATTATGTGGACAAGATTCTGGAAAAATTCAATAAGAATGATTCTGGAATTGCAAGAACTCCATTAGACAATAGTTTCCATCTATCTAAGAATAGAGGAGAGAGTATTTCTCAAGTAGAATACTCAAGAATCATTGGAAGTCTAATGTATTTAATGAGTTGTACTAGACCTGACATTGCATATGCTGTGAGCAAATTGAGCAGGTTTACAAGCAACCCGAGTGCTGATCATTGGAAAGCAATTTTAAGGGTGCTTAAATACCTACGGTACACTCGGAACTATGGACTGCATTACACTAGATACCCTGCTGTTTTAGAAGGGTATGCTGATGCAAATTGGATATCTGATATAAAAGATTCAAAATCCACAAGTGGATATGTGTTCACACTTGCCAGTGGGGCAGTATCTTGGAAGTCTTCTAAACAAACTATTGTAGCTAGATCTACAATGGAATCTGAGTTCATTGCCTTGGACAAATGTGGAGAAGAAGCTGAATGGCTCCACCATTTCCTTGAAGACATTCCAAAATGGGAAAAACCTGTGCCACCAATATGTATTCACTGTGATAGTCAATCAGCAATTGGAAGAGCACAGAATAACATATATAATGGTAAGTCTAGACATATACGTCGTAGGCATAATACCATTAGACAACTACTCTCAACAGGAGTTATCTCTATTGATTATGTGAAATCAAAGGATAACATAGCGGATCCGCTAACCAAAGGATTGAATCGAGAGTTGGTTGCAAAAATGGCAAAGGGAATGGGACTAAAGCCCATGGAAGGCTAAGTGTTATAAAGGAAACCCAACCTAGCTGACTGGAGATCCCAAGATCTAGGTTCAAAGGGACAACCTAATTATAAGGACTTAGCATAGTCATTGTGGGGGGATACCCCTAGACCCATTCCATAATGAAACAATGACGCAAAGGAGAATTAAGGATAGCACAATGGTGTGCTTTAATGATTCTTAAGTGAAGTAATTAATTACTGAAGACTTAAGTAAATCACCTATGTGAGAGTGAAGTGGGGCCGCTTCGAAAGAGAATTGTTTAGGGCTCAATTCTTAAAAAAAAAAAAACTCTTGCTGAACCAGGTTGATGTTCATGGCCAAAACGAACATAACTATGAGAACTGAACAAATGGAGCATGATTCCTGTGTGAAATATATGGTTCATTTACACTAAAAAGCGGGACAGTTCAAAGACATCATGTCTACTGGATTGCTAGTAAAGTAAGTGTATTTCACAAGAGAAGGTTCAATGGGTAACACCAACCTATCTTATGCAGGTTTCAGTCGTGGAACACTACTGTCGAGTCAAATCAAAACAATTTTTCATTCATGTGGGGGATTGTTGGAAAATTGGCTATATTCATTGTAGAGTGAATGAGAAAATTGTTCTCATAATAACACTCTTGAAAGAATCAAAGGATAATTATCTATTCATGTACATAGGATTCATGTATATTATTCATGATAGGATACATGTACTTGATACATGATTTTATCGTTATCTTATTGAGATACGTGTATGTACATGAATATGGTACTTTGATCAGCGTAAAGATAATTATCTGGAATTTAACTCTTGTTGCCAATTTCGAACAGTCACCCTAGGCTAGCATCTATAAATATCTCCTTTTATTTCAAAAGCAAGGGCGCTCTCTCTCTCTCCTTTTCCTTCTTGCATCTTCATATTTTATAGTGTTCCATATTGCTCTAGTTCGAGTTCGTTGTGGTGAATAAAGTTTGGTGCTGACATATTCACCTTTAATCCGTTGTATCCTGGGAGACAGACGCCTACTCAACCTCGAGCACTCTACCTGGAGGGGGCGAATCTGTTTTAAGGAAATTGTGCTCACAAGCCTCGGATTGTTACTATTGTTATTTTTCTATCTTTACCTTCTTTCTAGGTTGTATTTATTCTTCTCTTTTGTATCAGCCTACTTTATTATTTCACTAACAAGAACTTCTTAAACTTCAATTTAATGACTATCATCTACCATGCACTAAGAATTATTAAATTTTACTTGAATGGGTATAGAACTGTTGTGTGATGTTCCTAAATGGGCATTGCAAATTCTGGATACTCTTTGTACTTCTTTCTGTCCTTCTAATAGATTCCCTCACAGATTTTGGTATAGAATGATTTTTTTCCCAGCCCCAGCGGACTGGTGGTTGAGAGAAACTCTTGCAGTATCGCAACACTGCTGGTTGTAATTTCCATACAATTTCCCACCAGAAAAATAGAAGTATGGCACAAAAAAATGATTTTCCATTGTCTTAAACAGCCGAAGTAAACCTCAGTGGAGGATTTTTGTTCCAGTCTTCACCTATCAGTTTAGTGTTTAGTTAGCTCTCTCTCTCTCTCTCTCTCTCTCTCTCACGCACACAAAGACTCACAATCACACAATCATTGAAGCCACTCTAAATTTGTTTTCTGGAAATTCTTGTTGAGGATTATATTAGAGGATCATTGGATGTTTTGTTGAATTGCATGATGTAGGTTTGCTGCTGGATGAATTATAAACTATGTGAACTTCCAGCTCTATTGCAGTTACTCTTAAGTTTCTTTTTTTTTTAATTATTATTTTAACAATTCAGTGCATTATTTTCGTAATTTTCTGCTCTTTTAGGTTTTTCTAAAGTGTCCCACCTTTGCAAACAAAATCATTATCAAGCCTGTGGTCTGATAACATGAAGTATGGCTTTTTTGGTTGGTTCTCAGCTTTTTGTGTTTTATTCTTAGCTTTAATGTGTGTTTATGATGTTAAATGATAGCTGTTACTATGTGCTTTCCTACCAAAGGGAGAGAGGTGGCAGTTGAGATAAACATTTTTTGTCCTTTTTTGAACTTTCAATTTTGTTCTTAAAAAATTAATTTTCACCCTAATCACCTAATCACATTTGCTAATATAGTCTCTCATAACTCACTTAAATATTGTAACTTCCAAATTAATTATAAATATATTAAAGAAAAAAATTACTAATAAATTGTAATTTTTTCATGAAGAATTTATATAAAATTTAATTTTGTAAAAATAAAATTAATATATTCATAAAAATTAATAATTATTTTTGAACTGTATAGATATTGGGTGTACCCTTAACACTGGTATATACCAGTCCTGTTTGATCTTTACTATGTAGAAAAGACCTAAATTTCTGGA